CGGCTCTATTGTTATTTTTTTAAGATGGTGATTTAACAAGTGAATTTAAAACAATGATTTTCAGAAATCAGAAAAACAAAACAGTTTATTCAATTTTACTCCAGTTAAATAGCAGGAATCTTTCTGGCTTTCTATTCTCCTCACCACAGTTGATAAAACAGGAAAACATAACTGGATAGAGAACTAATCTAGAACAGATGTCAGGAAAGAATTTTTCCAGTACTGAACTATAAACATGCAGAATAAATACTGGAAAATGTACTATGGTAAAAAAAAAATCAGACTCAGTTACTAATTACATGATCTAAGTAGGAAACCAGATACCTAAATATGTGGAACAGGCTTTTTAAAAATAACCCTAATGGACAAACTGTGTCTTTACTATCCAAACCTGACTTAGACAATACAGAAACCTGCAATCTGCTAAAATTCAGAACTTTCCTATGCCTACAATGCTGGGCTATTCATCCAAAAGATGAATCCAACCACAGAGCAAGCCAGTTCCCAAGCACAGTCCACTGTGCTGTTCCTCATCATGGCCAGCATGACTTCTACTTGATATGCTCCTGGGACTTCCCAATGACTTGTTTTTACAGTCTCCTTTCTCTACTCACACTCAACTGGACACAGAAAGACTTACATCTGTCTCAGCATCTCAGCATCACTGGTCCTTCTCCTCCTTCTCCAGGAAAAAGCCAGAGGCCAGCTCGGGCCTGGCTCCACTCCTGAGAAATGGCTTATGCCTCGCATGCTGGAAGGATCAGAAAGGCATGGAGAACAGCAAACAACAGAATCAGCTCTGAGAAAGTTTGCTAATTTGTATGAAGTCGATTTGTGACTCATCCATATTCAGATGAATGTTCAAAGACAAATTCCAAGACTAAATATAAAATGACTTTTGGACTATCCAGGCTTCTGCTCCTTTCTCGCTTGCGGACAGGGCAAGGGCTGTGGTGCTGCCAGTACACTGACTCTCAAACCACTGAGACCCCACTCTTTCGATGGCTGGAGTTCATTACCATTGGAGCCAACGCAGCTTAACAAAGTACTGCTACCAGTGGAACAACACTACTGAAAGCACATGTGTTACAAAGGAGAGTTAGTGAGCCTCCTGACCACAACTGTCCGCAGTTACTTAAGGACTGGGGCAGGAAGACTCATGATTCACAGAATTTAACTAGTTCAAAAGAGCATTCAACTTTAGGACCTACAAGATCATAAAGGAAACTCAACACTGTCATTTACAGATCCCGCCAGGCTCCTAAAAGATTAATTTACCAAGGTTAGGTGGCTTCGAAGTAGCCAAGGCCAGCCCTAGCCTCTGAGAAACAGCCAATAGCTCTGGACCACATAGCCTCTCACTTTTGGAGAAATGGAAGGAACTGAACTTGTACGTGTGAGGCAGTATTATTTTCACAGCTGGGATAATGGACAAGAACTGAACAGGTAGCTAAAACCTAAACTGCCTAATATTATACATGAGCAATAACCTTTCCCTTCGAAATGACTGCAGTCTTCCAGCTACCAGTGACTAGGGAGAACATGATTGAGAAATCAAATTATCATTTAAACCAGATTACAAGGCTATCCTAGCCATTAGCATTACAGGTGGATGGGAAGCCATTAATGAGACCGTAAAATATTATTAGCCCTTACACTATAAAGTAATCTCTCCATCTCAGGTTTGTACATGTTAGAAATTTTTCTATAAAATCAGAAGGCTTTCCTGATTTGTTGTCTTGTCTTTTCTGTGTTAAAGGAGGATTTACTTTAACAAAGAAAACTAAGATTCTAAGTCACAGGAAAAACATAACGAATCGTACTCCCCAAATCTTTGCCCTCTTCATCTCCCCACATAACAGAGTGGCATACAAGCCTACTTCAGCATTTGAAAAGGGTAGAAATTCAAGAAGTTTTGCATTTGACTGACTGAGCAGAGATGTCACCGTTCCCAGTTTTCCAAGTATTAAAGTATTTCCTCCCGAGAAGGGCAGTAGCGACTGCAGGCCTACGGCACCCGTAGTTCACTGTTGAAGGCAGCATACGAGAAAGACACATAGAGAGGAAAGAACTGAGAGCACAGTAAGAGTCAAACCAAAAGTCTGCCAGGAAAGAAAAGAAAAGATCATAGCAAAGCTTCTTCCTACGCAACAAGCCAAACTGCCACTTCCTTGTGTCACCACGCAGCTGTCTGTGCTCCTGGCGGGCACCTTGACAAGCTGTGTTCAGTCAGGAAACAAGAAAAGTTCAGGTAAAGCAAACAACGCCAGTGACCTCAAATATACTCATCCACGCCAAAAATGCCCTATCCACATGTCTGCCATGTAACTTACTGTGGCAGCTCTCTGTCTACATTCAAGTTGGATATGGCATATTTGATGGCTAGCTATTATCTGTGAACATTCTTGGGTCCCACAGAAATTTTGGAGAAGCGTGAGGCAGGTTTTTGAAGCTTGCGATAGGACAGGGTTGTAAGTTATGGGCAAAAGAGAATTAAAAAGCAGGAAAATAAGAATGTTATGAAAGACTCCAGCACAGTCTGGTTCTTCATAAGCTCATTTTAGAGGCTGTGTAAGATTTCAGTAAGTGGAGAAGGAGAAGGGTGTCCATTAAAGAGAGAGAGAGAGAGAGAGAGAGAGAGAGAGAGAGAATGAACAAATGTGTTGAAGGCTGTGAAGAACAGAGAGGAGAGCCGGTTGGCTATGACAGGAGGAGTCTAGAAATAATGGGCCTTTGGGCTTTGAGGAGACAAAATCCAGCTGCTGAAGACTTTTAAGGCCATGGGGAACTATACAAAAGATGTATTTTAGGAAGACTTATCTGACACTGATAGACTTGATTTAAAAGTTTACAGTGGTCCTAGATTCCTGATCCAGGTACAGCTGAAAAGGGAGAGATACAGAGACAGAGACAGACAGACAGACAGACAGAATGTCGTGAGTCAGCTGAAATTTTTATAAATACCTGTTAGTGTGTGTACATGTGTGTGTTTAGTATAGGACCTCTGCATTGGTTTTAGAAAACCTGGACATATATTCAAAACTTATTTTTCTTAGGTGACAAGTTCTGGTGTGCAATTTCAGTGTGTGTGTGTGTGTGTGTGTGTGTGTGTGTGTGTGTGTGTGTGTGTAATGTACACGGGTGCATGTATGCTGCATGAACGTGTGTAGGTGTACATTCATGTGGAGTCTCTCAGAGAATCAGAGTTTCAAGCTGGGTTGGCTAGACTGGCTGGTCAACAAGCTCCCAGGAGCTGCAGGTCTCGTGTCCCCCAGAGCTGAGTCACAGGCACAAAGCCACGCATGGCTTTTAACACGGGTGCTGGGAATTCAAACCCTGGTCTTCATGCTTGCATAGCAAGTGCTCTTACCCATGAAGCCACCTCCCTAGCTCCTGGATTATATTTCTTTTTCATCTTTCCTTATTTATAACAGTAATCATTCTTTACACATTTGCAAAATCAACAAGATTACGTGTCATTCTTTTTAGAGCAGTTTTTTAAATCCTACTTTGCTAAAACAATTGCTTTATATCACACACACGCAAAATTTCCTCAAATCCCTCATTTTATTTTGCAAGAGAAACGTATCTTTCTTTCTTGCAGGCAGTTTAGAGCTACAAATCCACAGCAAAATGAAATAAATGAAATGGTTATCTTACAAATCTATACTGTATAGAAAGTTTTTAACAGACTGTCTGTTCTAAAAGTAGAAATTGCTTTCTTTATGTGTACAAACTAGAACATGCATGAATGTCCTTTTTCCTAGAAAAAGAACCAAACCTGGAATGTTTTCATTATGTCACAGATTAAGATACTTATCATATTTAGTTTTTCAAAATTGGAGATTTAGCTATATCCAGTACTGAATTTCACTTGGTAATAAAAAAGTAATTTATATTTCTAAAAAAAATTATTGCATGAGACTCAGAATATTATTTCCTATTTGTAATAAATCAGACCTTTAAAACACAGGAAAGAATGGATTATGAACATATTTCTTTTTAAAAAGGAAATTTCTGTTTGGGTCATGGAAAAAACTGCATTCGCTTGGAGACCTTTGATTAAGCAGAGGAGGGGGTCCTAGTCTCTAAGAGAGCCCTATCTCCACTTCCATGATTTTCCATTTGAGTTTCAAAGACTTGTCAGTTATCAGTGACCACTGGAAACTCTCCATTAGTGAGTCCAGCTTCCCACTCTGAGGAGCCCCAGCCAGGAACAGCAGACTGGCCCATCCCAACTGAGCATCAGGGAACTACCCCTGGTGATCTGACTGATCCCCGGGAAGGAAAGGATAAAAGAAAACACAAAATTAGCCAGGATAGGTCCCAAAGGCACTCACTCAAAGGCAGAATCTATACCTAGAGAGTCTGGGCTAGCTAAGGATGAAATTCATTTTTTTTTTTAAGGTAAACAAGGATGATGGTTCCCCTCCACTACCACCGCGCAGAAGAAAAAAGAAATCACTGTTTTTATTTATAGCACCCTAAGCACTTCAGGACTAAGAGTGGGAGAGGATACTTCTTCAATCCAGGGGCGTCTACGATGTTGCTTTTTATTACCAACACACATGCAAGTGGTATTATCATGTATGTGGTAAACTATGACAATGAATGGTTAGTCTCTCTGCTAGAGCAACAAAGTGAACTCCAATCTCAAAAGCCTCCGATTCATGTGAACACAGTTAGTGACTTTATAACAACCCTGAGTGAGCAAGGACTTTTCACGTATTAAGTTAGCAAATGTAACGGATTCTATAAATCCACGGAAAGATGTCATGTCTCCTAAAAACTGTACCTGATTTTAGGGTTCCTGGTTAAGGTGAGTCCAGCTCTGTATGAGATTTTTTTTTAAAGTGAAGGGGAATGGGTGGGGTGCAGAACACAGACGAAACTTTTACAGCATGGAAATAAAAGTATTTTTAAACCTTCTTAAGGGTGAAGAGTTAGGCAAGAAGTAATACGTGGAAAACTGTCAAGTGCTTCTCTACACACCCACCCACCAGATACCATCGCAGCCGGCTGGGGGAGTCTCCCTCTTCTTGCCTGACAGCTTCACTTTTCTTTGAGGTCTGGAACTGGTGATCACACTGGTCCTTCATGGTTATTTTCAGTTAACAAAGCAGTTACTCAATGGGGGGGGGGGGGGAGGCACAAAGGAGCAGGGCAGCTGCTGCTGCACCCATGATGCCACCGCCGCCTCGGCTCCTCCGTGACGTCCGGAATGGGTATCCCCGGCTCTCAGGAAGTGGTGGCCGCGGGCAGCTCCGCCCCCTCCGCGAGTCGGGGCCCGCCCGGCAGGCCCGGTGGCGAGACCTGGCCCAGGGGGCTCGCGGAGCCGGGGCGGGCGGATGGGCAATC